TTTTTTCCCCCTCCTGGTCTACATAGTGAGTTCCAGGACAGCTGGGACTACAGGGAGCCCCTGTCTCAAAAAGACAAAAAATGTTTGAATTTTCTGTGTATGAGTATATTGCCTGCTTGTGTGCAAGTGCACTCGTGTCGTGCAATTTCTACAGAGGTCAGAAGAGGGCATTGGATCCCCTGGAACAGGAGTTATGAATGGTTGTTAGTGGTGCTGGGAATCAAACCCGGATCCCCTGCAAGAGGAACCAGTGCTCTTAACTGCTGAGCCATCTCTCCAGCCCCTCAGATGTGCTTCTAAAGGGTGCTTTTCTGGTATAGCTTGTTGCTGTTGGAAAGCATAAATTCCAACTCACCTGAACTTCAGTGGCTCTGCAAGCTTGCCCAGGATTAAGGATTAACAGCTCTGTGGTCCATTTGTGTAAGATAGTTCTTTAACTTTGCAGCCGTAGTCTGATAGTCTGTCTTTATTTTTTGTCATCCCCAGAAATGTGGATCTGAGAGAATACTTGTCTGAAGAAGTACAAGCTGTCCACAAGAATACCACTTACGACCTCATTGCCAACATCGTGCACGATGGCAAGCCCTCTGAGGGCTCCTACCGGATCCATGTGCTTCATCATGTGAGTGGTCCTAACCATCATGGCACTGAGAGGCAAAAATAGGCATTGTTCTGTGGTATTTCAGGCCCTTTGTTGACCTGGCTTCAGAACTCTGAAAGTAATGGAGCCATCGACCATAAAAGGCAGTGGCTCTCAGTTTTGACTGCACATTGGACAGACACACCAGGAACCTTTCTAAAGTCTTAATGCCTGGGTTATAATAGAACACTAGCTTTCAGTTTGGTCAAGGATGATGTCACAGATCCTACAACTGAACCATCTCCTGCAACACACTTAACCTGGCTCCAAACAGCGATCAGCATTATGGTTAAGAGACTCTGCTTTAGGTTATGTGGCTCTAGAGTGAGGTGTTACAGTGTTCTGAAGGTCCCTGGAGCTTGTAGCTAAATAGGACCAGAGCCCCAGCACTGAGTCAGATCCTCAGCCCAGCAGCAATGTAGCGTCATCTGAGCCTTGTTAGAATGGCAGAACCCAGCCTCCCCAAACCTGCTGCATCAGAACCTGCGGTTTAACAAGGCCCTTGGATGGCTGTGGAATTACCATTTGGAAAGTATTGATTTAGAGGTTCCTTTTTTGTTTTTGTCATGGTGCTTTTGAAATAGAGTCTCACATTGTAGCCCAGGCTGACTGTGAACTTGAGGGAATCCTGCACTTATCTCAGCCTCCCAAGTGCTAGGACTACAGATATGTTGCCACCATACCCAGCTAGAGGCTCAGCTTCCAGCTCAAAAATGCTTTTTATTTGTCTCAAGCTGAAAGCAAAACACATACTTGAGGAATATTTGCTAGCACAAGTTTTTTTTTTTTTTCCTTTTTGAGACAGGCTCTCTCTAGCCCCAGCTGGCTTGGAACTCACTATGTAAACCAGGCTGGCCTGGAACTCACAGAGATCTGCCTGCCTCTGCCTCCCAAGTGCTGGGATTAAAGGCATGCACCACACCCAGCTAGGTTGCTCTTTCTTTATTGCTGCTTTCTCTGGGCTGAGGGTGTAGAGGAGGAAGAGAATGTTCATGCTTAGGTTCCTAATGCCAGCTCCATTTGTTTTTTGTTTTTGTCTTTTTGAAGCAGGGTCTCCCTGTAGCCCCAGCTGTCCTAGAACTCACTATGTAGACCTGGCTGGCCTTGAGCTCACAGAGATCCGCCTGCCTCTGCCTCCTGAGTGCTGGGACTACAGGAGTGTGCCACCATGCCCAGATAGATTACCCTTTTTTTCTAAAAACATATTTTATTTTTATTTTATGTGTGTGAGTGTATTGCCTACATGTATGTAAGTGCACTGTGTTGCGTAATGCCTGAGGAGCTCAGAAGAAGGTGTCAAATCTCCTGGAATTGGAGTTACTGATTGTTGTTAGCTACCATATAGATGCTGGGAGTTGAACCCAGGTCCTCTACGGGAACAGTCAGTGCTCCCAACTGCTGAGCCATCTCTCCAGCCCCCTAGATTACCCTTTCTGAACAGGAAAGAGACATTTGAAATTGGAGGGCCTCCTCTCTCTTCTCTTGAGTACCCATCTAAATTCTCCTTAAAAAAATTTAGAAGTGGGGCTGAAGATACAGCTCAGTTGGTAGAGTACTTGTCTAGTATGCATAAAACCTTAAGTTCGATCCCAGGCACCACATAAATGGCTTGGGGAGCATAAATCTCTCATCCTAGCATTCAGGAGGTAGAAGCAGGAGGATCAGAACTTCAAGGTCATCCATGGCTACAAAGAAATTGATGCTGGGGCTGGAGAGATGGCTCAGCAGTTAAGAACACTGGCTGTTCTTGCAGAAGACCCAGGTTTGAATCCCAGCACCCACATGGCACCTAACAACTGTCCCGAACTCCAGTTCCAGGAGATCCGACATCCTCTTCTGTTCCTCATGGGCATTGCATGACATAGGTGTACTTACCTACATGCAGGCAATATACAAATACACATAAAATAAATTAATAAAATATTTTTAAAAAAAGTTTGATGCTAGCCTGGTCTATGTAAGATCTTGCCTGTCCAAAATAAAAAAGCCAAAAATGTTTGGGATCCCCATTGTACTTCAGAGACTTGTTGGCTAAAACTATTAAGTGGATCAGGCCTAGCCAAGATCACAGACCGTCCACCTCATGACTCTTGTTGGTTGGGTCTAGTGACCATTCTGATTTTTCTGACTTTTGGCTATGATCCTTTTTACACCCTTGTGATTTGGGAGAGCAGATTAACCCGGCCCTTCATATTTTCTGCAGGGGACTGGCAAGTGGTATGAATTACAAGACCTCCAGGTGACTGACATCCTCCCCCAGATGATCACTCTGTCCGAGGCTTACATTCAGGTGGGTGTGGGCCAAGGCAGGCAGTAGAATTTCATAGAGCCTTGCTTGAGACCCAGGTGCCTCAAGAGTGAGTGGGTGGGTGGGGCAGATTATGTGGCTCTGAAAGTCAGATTTTCAGAAAAGAATAGGGAAGAGTGGTAATCTACAAGTGAGCAAAGAGGCCTGTGTTCTGGCCTTGGGAGTTTTGCAGAGGTGTGTAGCATAATTTTTGAGGAGGAAGAACCTGAGCTCTCAGGGAGGATGACTGTGCGGCTGTGCCAACTGTCTCCCCGAGACCAGTAGAATCAGTGGACACTCTTTTTGTGTCACTTTTTTTTGTGTGGCCCCTGTGCTTTCTCTGACTTTGGGAATGCCAACTATGTTGCATTGATTGTCTTCTCTTCTGCACTGAGAGCTCTTTTTTCTTTTGTAACTGTTACAGAGCCTGGTGGAAGAAGGAGGGTTGAGATTAAGAGAAACCACAGCCTTGAGAAAGAGCAGTGATTCATGTTCTGGATGCACATCCTGGGTGTTTTCTCAGTGGTCTTTTCACTGAGCCACACCTCTAGCTCTCTAGGCATTTTTATTTTTTAAGAATGGAAGAAAAGTTGAGGATCAGTGGAAAAATGAAAATGGAATTAAAGGGAGTATTCTGGAAGGCTGTGAATCATTTTCAGAAGGATGTAGCACATATGTCAGTAGAATGACAGGTTGTCTACTGCCTGGCACAGAATAGTAGTTGGTAACTGACTGTTGCTGAAGAGCTTCTAACCAGCTCATCAATGTCTGGTTTCATTTCTGACAGATTTGGAAGAGGCGGGATAACGATGAAACCAACCAGCAGGGGGCTTGAAAGATGTGTCTGGGGCTTTGCTCTCGGCTTTGACTGAGGCTGGTAAAGAGAATACTGAAGCTGAAGCTGAACATGGTCTGACTGGAAGGTTCTGGACCATCCTAGTTCTTGTGGGTTCTGACTACATCAGGGCATCAAGGAGCCCTGATTAGCTTGTTGCAGGTGAAGCGCCTTTCTCCTTCCCATCCAGCTTCTTTCCAGCCTCAGCAGACAGAACTCTTACAGGTGGATGCCATTTATTTGAATTGTTTTGAGTATCCAAGGCCAAATAATTCCTCACAAACATGAAGCCTTGAGATTCTAGGAATAAGCACGAGGCCAGCAGCATTCTGTCTCTCATAGGAGATGTGTTTTCCTATAGTTCCCTTCATCTCCTCATAGGTGTTTTGGATTAAATATCCTATTTTTAAACCAGCTTCTTGTTTTATATACCTCACATAGACTTACCAAGAAATTTATTTTCCTATTTAATCTTATACACACACACACACACACACACACACACACACACATGCAGTCTGTCATTTTGTGGACATCATTGCCTCTTCCTGTCAGCTTGTGGGTGGTGCATCATTTGAGATGCATTTGTCTCTTAAGTAACAAAATATCTGACTAAAAATGATAAATTAGCCGGGCATTGGTGGCACACGCCTTTAATCCCAGAACTTGGGAGGCAGAGGCAGGTGGATCTGTGTGAGTTCAAGGCCAGCCTGGTCTACGTAGTTCCAGGACAGCTGGGGCTACAGGGAGACCCTGTCTCAAAAAGACCAAAAAAAAAAAAAAAAAAAAAAAAAAAAAAGATAAATTAGTGTGCCTCATTAGAAGACTAGTGGTGGGCAATTTCACACTGTAGTGCAGCTCTGGAATGGAAGAGAAATAAAAGAATTAGGAGGGCTGCTCACTGCAGTGCAATTCTGAGCAAGTCTAAGCCAGACTGATGGGGAGCCCAGAGCAAAGGCTGACTTAGAGGAATTGGGCAGAAAAACTGGCAAGCTCAGCCATTGACTTAGTAGCTTGTAGCTGTGACAGGAGCACCAGGACAGACCTAAGATGTAAAAAAGCTGACAGACAGCATCTTCTTTTTGGTTTTGGTTTTGGTTTTGATACAGGGTCCTGCCATGTAGCCCAGGTCATCCTCCTGCCATGGTCTCCTGAGTGCTGGGCTTGCAGTACACTTCTCCCTCCTTAGTACATTCTCTTGATGCTGAGTGCTTCTGTGACTGTGGCCCATTACATCTAGAACACAGCACTGAGTAGGTTTTCATGTATTCCTTTACAGTTAACAGTTGGGCTTTCTCAAGGCTTGGTGCTACACAGTGCCCTCTTCTCCCTGAGACCATTTCATCTGTGCTTGTAGTTCCACTTGTCACTCAGGGAGATGCCTCATAAGCAAGTCATTTAAAAAATTTTTGTTTTTTGTGTGTTGAGTGTTTTACTTGCATGTATGCCCATGGAGGCCAGAAGAGGGCACAAGATCCCCTGGAACTGGAGTCACAGATGATTGTTAGCTGCCATGAGGATGCTGGGAACCAAACTGGGTCCTGCAAGAGCAGTTCGTGCTTTTAACTGCTGAGCCATCTCTCTAGCCTCTCATAGGCAAATCTTAATCCCAGACTGCTCTGAATTCTTTTTTTTTTTTTTTATGTGTATATTTTGCTTATACATAGTGCACAGTGTACATGCAGTGCCTGAGGGGGCCTGAAGAGGGTGTTGGATTCCCCTGGATCTGAAGTTACAGACAGTTGTTAGCTTCCATGTGGATGCTAGAAACTGAACCCAGGTCTTGCAAGAGAAGCAAGTGCTCTTAACCACTGAGCCATATCTCCAGCCCTTCTCTGAATTCTTGATCTTTAAAGCCAGCTGCTTTTTTGATTTGCTTTTTGATGTCTTGAAGTCAGCTCAAACTTAACATTGATGGTTCCGGACGGTGTTTCTGACCTGGGAATGTGGCTGATTTCTAGAGTGTTTGCTAAGCATGTATGAAGCTCTGAGTTTCATCCACAGCACCACATTAATCAGGTGTGGTGGCCTGTCTGTAATCCTAGCACTTGGTAGGTATAGACAGGAGGATCAGAAGTTGACTGTCATCTCTGGCTTCATAGTGAGTTTGAAGCCAGAATGGGCTACATAAGAGCCTACCTCAAAAAAAAAAAAAAAAAAAAAAAAAAAAAAAATTAAGGGCTAAAGACTCTACCATCCATCCTTTACATATACTGAAAATTTATCCAGGAGTCATCTTTTTATATTCCTTGTATGTATGTGTGTGTGGGGGGGTATATGTGCATAATGTCTGTGCATGTGGTTGTACCTATCCATGCTGTGGAGGCCAAGGAAGGATGTCTGGTGTTCTGCTCTATCACGCTCCACCTTATTCCTTTGAGACAGATCTCTTACTGAATCTGGGGCTAGGCTGTGGGCATAGCAGTTCTGTCTCTGCCCCAACAGTGCTGGGGTTACAGGTGTATGTATAGCCATACCCAGCTTTCTACATGGCTGCTAGGAATTTCAACTCAGGTTTTCATTCTTGTGTGGCAAACACTCTTCACTGAGCCAAAAGAAATCTGATTTTCTTTTGTATTTCTCTTTATTTCTTTGGTGGTGGTGGTTTTGAGCCAGGGTATCATTAGTTTATGCTGGCCTGAAACTCCCGTAGTTCACGTGGCCTCGAACTCATGGTGATCCTTTTGCCTTAGTTTCCCCAGTGTTTGATTTATAATCTTGAGCTACCATGCCAGGCTTTTTATTTTTACTTTTTTCCCTCTCTCCTGTCTCTCTTCTGTCCCTCCCTTCTCTTTCTCTGTCTCTGGTTGCTTTTGAATTTATTATTTCTATATTATGTTTTTGAGTGTTTTGCCTCCATGTATATAAGTGTATCATGTGTGAGCAATGCCTGCAGAGGCCAGAAGAGAGTGTCAGATCCCCTGGAACTGGAGTTAATGGACAGTTGTTAGCTTCCACATGGGTGCTGAGAACCAAACCCAGGTCCTCTACAAGAGCAAGTGCTCTTAACCACTGAGTCATCTTTTCAGCTCTTGGTTATCTATTTTTTAAGAATTGGGGGAGGAGGGCAGTGGATAAAGTGTTGCCAAGCCTGATGATGTGTTTGATCATGAGATCCATAAGGTGGAAGGAGAGAAATAACTCCTACAAGTTGTCCTCCGACCTCTACACATGCCCCCCCCCCAAAAAAAAAGTAGGTATTAAAAATAAATAGGGATTGGTCAGGTGTGGTGGTATACGCCTTTAATCCCAGCACTCGGGAGGCAGAGGCAAACAGATCTCTGTGAGTTAAGGCCAGCCTGTACAGGGAGACCCTGTCTCAAAAAGACCAATAAATAAATTAATTAAATAAATAAATAAAATAAATAGAGATTGCCGGGCGTGGTAGCACATACCTTTAGTCCCAGCACTCAGGAGGTAGAGGCAGGCAGACCTCTGAGTTCTCGGCCAGCTGGGGCTGTAGGGAGACCATCTCAAAAAAACAAAAAAAAATAGGGGTTGAAGAGATGGTTCAGTGATTAGGAGAGTGTACATGGGTCAGTTCCCAGGACCCATGTCAGATTGCTTATAACCACCTATAACTCTAGCTCCAGGGGATCTAACGCCTTCTGGCCTCCACAGGCACCTGTACTCATGTACACATATCTCCACATGTAATTACACATACACATATTTAAAAATCTTTTAAAAACTAATAAAAATAATTTTTAAATTTATTTTTAATATATATGAGTGTTTTTGCCTTACTGTATGTAAGTACACCTGTGCATGCAATGTCTGAGGAGGCCAGAAGAGGGTCTGGATCCCCTGGAACATGGTTGTTAGCTACCATGTGGGTGCTGGGAACTTAACCAGGGTCCCTCTGCCAGAGCAGCCAGTCCTCTTATCAGCAAGGGATCTGATTCCCTCTTCTGGCTTCTGCAGCCATTGCCCACATGGTACACTTAAATATATACAGGCAAAACAGTCACCAAAAAATTAAAAAAATTAAATTACATTTGTGTGTATGTGTGTGTCTGTATGTGGGTATGGGTATGTGTGTGCCATATCATACTTAAGGAGGTCAGAGGACAACTTGCAGGAGTCAGTTCTCTTTTTCCACCATGTATCCCTGGGGATGAACTCAGGTCCTTGGGCTTGGCAACATGTGCTTTACCTGCTAGCCCTTTGTCCATCTTGTTTGTACTTATTCTGAATTCTGGGTTCACTGACCTTCCCTCTCTTGGTGAGATGTGCCAGAAGACAAAATGTGGTGATAAGCAGTGATTGTGGGTGCCTATTTATTTTGTTTTTGAGACAGGCTCTCACTTTGTAACCCAAGCTGGCCCAGAACATGCTACATAGCTCAGGTTAGTCTCAAATTTCTGTCAGTTTTCTGCCTTAGACTCCTGAGTGCTGGAATTCTAGGCATATGTCACCATGTCTGGCCCCTAACTACAGTTCTTAAGTTCCAAAGGACAAACAGCAATGGTTTGTTTTGTCCCAGCACTGGGGAGGTGCTTGGTGCTTCAGAGCCACTCACTCAGTGTCCATCAGTCATTAGTCCTGTCTGTTCTCTAGGTTGTCCTGCACAGAGATTTTGTCTGCTTGTGTTCTCCCAAGATGGTGACAATAGATGATGTCATCTAAGAGTTTGGGAATTTCTCAGAGCTGGCTGTCATGTCCTGTGTGCAGTAGTGGAAGTGGCTTGCTGCTTACCACAGCTGTCTGAACATGACACTGGACTTACACACATGCAAGCAATACATTTATACACATAAAAATAATAAGCCGGGCGTGGTGGTGCATGCCTTTAATCCCAGCACGTGGGAGGCAGAGGCAAGTGGATCTCTGAGTTCACAGCCATCCTGGTCTACATAGTGAGTTCCAGGACAGCTGGGGCTACAGGGAGACCCTGTCTCAAAAAGACCAATAAATTAAATAAATAAATAAATGAATGAATGAATATAAATAAATGCAAGCCAGGCATGGTGGCTCATGCCTTTAATCCCAGCACTCCGGAGGCAGGGGCAGGCAGAGCAGCCTGGTCTACATAGCAAGTTTCAGGCCAGCTGGGGCTACAGGAAGACCCTCTATCAAAAAGACCAAAATAAAAATAAGTGAATAAAATATTTTTTTAAAAATAAGGAAAATGACATTGGGCATATCTGCAGACCTCTGAGATTGAGGCCAGCCTGGTCCATGTAGTGACTTTCAGGCCTCTGGGCTAGGGAGGCCCTGACAAAACAGCAAAAAAGGAAAATAATACTCTGATAGAAAATTAGGCAGAAGTCCTAATTGGACTTTTGGTTGGTAAGGTGACTCTACAGGCAATGAAACATAGATGGCCTCTAACCATAAAAAAATGTTTATCAATAATCAAGGCCAACATGGTGATGCATGCTTCTAGTTCCAGCACTCAGGAGACAGGC